TTTTTTTTTTTTTTTTTACTTTATCGCAAATCGCTGACGTAACAATACCACACGTTGCCATATCAGTGGTAGACATTATAATCTCCCGCTCACAGTCAGAACAATCCTCTCTCTCTCTCTCTCTCTCTCATACAATTTTTCTTATTTTGTTGAATGCTCGTGAAGCGATTAGTAGGTTAGAAGGTGGCAACGGTTTCTAATTATTAAACTTGATTAAGTATCGTCTTATTTAATTCAAAGAATCCTGTTTGAGCCTCATTTTTTGACAAAAAATATATTTTCAAATAGTGATTTGATGAAAAATATGTGGTCAAAAAAATAAGAAAAAAATTTGAATTTGCGTGTAATATTATTTTATTGAAAAATGTGTAGTTGAAAATAAGATAGAATGAGAGAAAATGTATTTTGAAAATAATAAGGGCCAAACAAGCGCTCAGTATATGGATCTTTATTCATGATAGTAAATGATATTTTTGGTATATTAAATTGGATATAAGATTACAAAGAAATATGCAATAAAATGTATGGGCTATTTTTTAATTGTGTTCAGTCTATTGTACACCCACTAATAAGGTTATACAATAACAGTAGTTTATATCTTAACTCTAAATTGGTACAAATTTGAAATTACGAGGTAAATTCATAGAATGTACGAGTAAAAATTCTTAAGAGGTTCTTTCACCCGAATCTCAAGGCTATGGTTTTGGACATGAATACATGCCGACTACTTCACTTATTTTTAGAAAACGATTATTTTGAAATTAGGACAAATCGCCGATCTTAATTGGTGGAATAACTGACACTACTACCTTGATGGTATAGGGGGCCAATCCCCCGTCCATGGTCATGAATTTAACTAATTCCCAGTCAAGTTCATGACCATGGACGGGGGATTGGCCAATTCTCAGTCAACCTTGCTCAATTGGTCAGGCTTTGGGTTTGTTCTCTAATGGTTATTAGTTCGAGACCCCTCATAGCCACTGAGGTGAGTACCGACCGTAAACTTTAGGGTCCCGTGGGATTAGTCGAGGTGTGCGAAAGATGGCTCGAACATCCACGGTTATAAAAAAAAAATCTAATTCCCAGTCAATATATTTGTTGTGTTATACTGTATTTTTTTATGCAAGTCCCCAACTTATATTATTTCAAGTGACGTTAACACTTTTTTAGCCTACGTAGAATGTTCTATTTGCCAAAGTTCACTATATAGATAGACATTATCGAAGAAGAAAATGAAGATAAAATATGGTCTATCCTACTTCTGATGATGTTCAATATTTGGTATAAAAGATGCTGGTCTTCTTCCTCATGTTCCATAAATCCAAGTTCAAGAAGGTTTAGATTATAAATTTTTGTTAACTTGTCCCCGCCTAAGCTGCGGCGACTTATAATTTACAAAACAAAAAATCAACACGATCGTTCGGCTTATTCATTTCTGGATAAATTTATCCGTTTACAAAATTTAAGATGGTGTAATTATATTCACACAACAATTTTTTTAATTTCACTTAAAGTCTCAACATTTACCGATTTTAACATTTATGTCCCTATCTTCTTTTCATCTAATTTTTATCTTCAACATGTTTCGCCCTCGATAACAATTTATGTTAAAATATTATGTTTACATGCTATATAATGAGAAAAAAAAATATTCTATCTATCACACTTTTGCATTTGTTATTTTCTAAAAATTATGATGAATAAAATATGCACTTTACACTATTTAGAACACTAACACGACCACAATACATGTTTATTTATTGTACAATAAACAATACACTAACAAGACCATAATCTAATATATGGAGTGAGCTACAAAAACCGTTGACTATTGACGGCCACAATAGTAAGATTTTTTATTAATATTTAACTAATTAATATTAAAAGAATTCAATCAGTATCTAGATGCACTAAAATGTAAAAGTCATATACATTTGAAAATATAATTCAATACAATTCAAAATAATATATATATATATACACACACGCATGATCAAGTTTCAAATTTTTTTACGAACTTAAGCGAGACAAGATAAAGTTTATACGTAAAGCAGGATTAAATGGTAAAGGCAAGTTTCGAGCTTAGGTGAAGGTTATGCAAAATTTTGAAAATAATGACTTTAGAACTAGAACTATTTTTTACCCCAAAAGAAAAAGTATATTTTGAACTCTTAAAATAATAAATAACAGCACTTAGATAGTCCAAATTTGAATTTTATAAAATGAATAGATAAAACCTAACAATATATATTTGAAGTAATAATTTGGGTCAATAAATTATTTCGAAAACGAAAACTAATAATATATAATAATTAATTATATATTGTATTAAAAATTAAACAAAAAAGTGGAGATGTATGAGGTGGCTCCTCTAACATATGAGCTACACTCCCTTTTGTTGAAGGTTAATACAATTATTAGTTAATATTTTGTCATTATTTACTGTATTTAAAATTAAGAAGAATATCATTCAAGGTAATCAAACCCGTGTATTTCGTATGCAAAAGCAAGCGCCCTTTCTTTAAATGTCAGTACAATAACACACACACACATATATTCATTAATCTCTTTTCTCAACGGAACTACACGGGCGGCCACGTTGACTTGCCACGTGCTGGATCTGCCCTTGTATATATATATATATATATATATAACACAAGTCCAAATCTCTATCCCCTTAATTTACCCACAACCTGAAGGTCAAAGCTTATGCAATTGTTCTTATTTTGTTGAGCCAGTGAAGCGATTAATAAGAGTCAATAGAATGTGGTAACGATTAAAATTAGATTTTTAGTGGATTGTGATACAAGCTTTTGAAATGTGTGGTTGAAAAAACCCATAAAAGATATTGTTAATATTGATTGTTTGACTTTGACTTAAATTAAAATAAGATTTTAATCCGGCTCAAATAAGCCTTAAACAATTGTTTACTCTAGGGATATATTAGGAAAAAAATGTAAATGTATATGTGTGTGTGTGTGTGTAAATCTGTGTAAAAATGAAAATAAGTTTATCTCTATGGGAAGAAGGGAGTACTGTTTTTGCAAGTACAAATGAGCTCCTTAAGACAATTTGAATGGAAAGCCTTTAGAATAGCATTCCTTGTTGGTTTCGAAAAACAAAACTGACAAAAAATTAGACGCGGTGGAATGTAGGTTTTTGTTACGGGTCTATGTCAGACCCCCACCTCAACCTCCACGTGTCAGTGTACGTAGCCATCCCACGGGTCGACCGAGGCGATTACGCATGGGAGGACCTGACTACACCCGCCGAAGCGATT